ACCAGTGATGGTTAACTGTAGGGAAAATGTCTCGGTTAGGTATAAATACAGTTACAAAAATGAATGGAAGTCAATACAATGTCCTCAGTTTGATGCAGGAACAAGACCTATTCCAATCTTTAGTCCTGGACAAACATTTCATAATTTGGCAGAAGTTATGTAAAACACTCTAGTGTGACAGGGTCTTAACATCACTTACAGATGATGATGTTTGATTGGGTTTTGTACCTGTCTGCACCAGGAAGAGGCTCTCCGATTATCGTGATCACAAGTCGCGGCATGATTCCAGCATGAAGGGGGAGATCATAAGGCACCATCTGCAATTCACAACAAAAATCAGGACAAACAACACATACTAATATTTCCATGTGTGCATTTTTCTGCTTTGCAGAGAAAAATATAATAAAGACCACAGTGTGCACCCAATTCCATTTGCTTTATTTATGTTAAGCCAATTCACAACAAGTCACCTCCGGTCATTGTACAAAAATATTCACTTACAATATAAAATGCTAATTAGACATCTGAGGACAGCAGATTGTGTTGAATCTTCACTTCGTCACAATCTAATAAACCAAATTCCCAAGGTCAGATGTAAAACTGTTTACATTTTATTTATTAGTAACTTAGCAGCATACACCAGGAAACTTCATGGGAAAGTCTGGTCATTTTTAATGTGATGTTCTGTCAAACATTTATGGAACCTGATCAGTGACATTAGTCGTAGAGATTAGAGGATGAAGAAAAGGGCAGAAGTCTTCATCATACCTAGTTTAGTTTTTCAAGATTTTTTTAAAATACCAAAGATACTGGTTTGAAAGAAGCCACTTGTTTAGCTTGTTAAGTGACTTCTCAAATGTTCGTGAGCTCATCAGAGAACGTGGTTATGATGCTGCTGAGTGGAGCAGGACTGAGAGTAGACAGATTATTACCCCCGAGATTAGCCACTTTTATAAAATTGTCAGACATCAGTCACGACTATGTAGACCTAATCACCAGGTAGGGAAATTAAAGTACAGCAGCAGCTGCTACAACCAGCTTACTATAACTTGTAATCTTCCTAATCTACCTTTAAACCAAAGCTTTCTAACAGGGATGTCTTCAGAAACAGGCAATTTAATCCAGATCTTTACAATTCTCTTTAAAATTTACAAATTTTCTCTGCTGGGTGCCGCAGTGCTTGGAAACCCTTTGTATAAATTATGTTTGGTGTCAGTGCAAAGGTTGGGGATTCTCCTTTTTAAATATAGAGCTGRAATACCTGACGACCTCACTGCAAAAATAATAATTCATTGGTGTTTTATATTTGTCATCAGTCTACAAGATTAGCATCAACCTTACTGAAACTCAAACCAACTGACCTCTGCAGCAACGGCATCAATGTGCTGATCCATTCAGCAACAGTAACAGTAACCTGTCCTGTAGTGCTCTCACACCATTGTGTCATTTTTTAAAGATTTGTTTTATAAGCCTGAAAATTTTATTTAAAAGGGATCCATGATTAGTTGTAACGTTAGACGTTATTTAATAAACATATATTTTAACTGTAAAATTCAGACTGTAAAAATACTGTAAGCTGTTTAGTTTTTATAATTTTTAAACTAAAAGTTTAAAAATATATTTTAACACAGATGGGGCCATTTTATTTACACACAAAGCATTCTGGGTAAATGATGACGTGGATAGGTCCTCGGTGCGAGGCTGCTAGCGAGCTATATCC